GTTTTCTGCACTATTATCGATATCCTGGCATTCTTTTCGGTCACTAACTGACAAAGCCGTAGAAAATTTATCTTCATTTCCCCTTCCATCAGTGTCAGAACTATCAGATAGGAAGAGGAGAGTCCCAATTTTCCGGGAGTGAGAACTGACTTGCATGAGGCATGGTGAACAAGGGTAAGTGAGCCGGCGTTCCCACAATGCTATGCAGGCGCCTAGATTTTTTGTTTATGGCGCACACCCACCACGCAGACCCGTTCTCTCACATGTAGGCCTATGAGCGCTTTTGCGCTAAATTTGACGGCGCTAGAATTTTGGCGTAGATCTACGGTTTGGACACTCAACGTGAAGCCGTAGATCTACGGGACGGACCCTGAAAGGGTTAAAGCATTCTCAAAGTAAATTCACACGAGTATGTCAAGAAGCCATTGGCAGAATGCCCATGCAAATGCCCAGGGTGTTAAACTTCATAGTCATCTTTTTACAAAATGCTAAAAATCACACACCTTAAAAATAGTAAGGAGAGACTTGAAACATAGGTGTCTTGCCATAGTCACTAAACATCACAGATATAGTTCCACTTCCCATGGGTGGCAGCAGCACCAATACTACAGACTAATAACACTAATCTCACACATAATAAAAATGAATGAATGAATGAATGGCAAGAAGTAAAATTGCTAAATGCATGAGTTGTAACATTTACACAAACCACGCCCATATGGGTTTAGAACAAATTACTTCTGCCTCTAACAATTACTGAACCACTTTGACATGGTTTAAAATACACTGGAAGACAAGCAATATGCATTAGTATTATACCATTGTGTATTGTGTATACAGACTACTGTGCAAAAGCCTTCAGCAAGTGTTATCATGGTGTAATAGCACACCTAATGTGTGCAAATGGAATAACATGGAATAACTAGCAAAATGTGCACATGGATTTTCCATTTTCTAACAAATCAAGTCTAGAGTAATAGCAAATAAAGTAAAAGCAGATGCCACTACAATGAAAGCTGTTTCACAAGGTAAATTACTATTTCCAATTACCTTTTTCTTTTACATATCTGAGAGACAAAGGCACAAATCATATCACTGTATTATCTTTTGTAGATGATACTAGAATTTGCAGGAGTGGCATCCAATGAGGATACATAAACCAAGTCTTCAAGTGGGCCACAAAAAAATAATTTGGTGTATGATGCATGACAAGGACAAATTTCAGTTACTGTGCAATGGGAAAATTAACAAATTAAAAATTGAAAGAGTATAAAATGCACTCAAACCACTGAGTAGAGCAGGTGAGAAATGTAAATTACCTGATAACCACATAGCAGTTTTTACATTTAAGGAAACATATGACAGTGTGTTACTGTCACAACTGCAGGGAAAGTAATAAGCTGGATAACAAGGACCTTCAAAACACAGAGATTATACTCTTATTAAGGCACCTGTATGGTACTTGCTAGACTAAAATACTGCTCTACACTAACAACCCCACTTAAGGCAGGTAAAATTGAATATCTGAAGAAAGTGCAGAGAATTCACATTTAACATATGAATGCAGAAGGTTAAGCTGCATCATAATTTATACCTGATAAATACTGGAAGGACTGGTTCCAAATGTGCACACTGAAATTACTCCTAATAAGAATGGGAGGAGTGGTAGACAATGCAAAATACCCCAGTGAACAGCAGGGGTGAATTAAGTACATCAGAGATAACCCAATAAGTATAAAGGGTCCACCACTTCCCTACACACACACACACACACACAAAATGAGACCATCTTGTGACAGGGACCAGTGTTACAGTTTTTGCTGATGATTAAACTAACAGTATTCAAATATAAGAGAAACTATGAAGATCCCCAACAGTCTCTGCAAAGCAGAGAATGAGGAATGACAAGCACATACAATGGCTGCCCCCTCTCCTTTCTTGTAATGTTTGTACTATGTGTGTATGCAATGAATCTTTTAAGTACAGTATGTAATACAGATTAATAAGTCTGAGAATCTAGCCTTAGAACCTGGCCATCTACAAGTATAGTATACTAAAGAAAGGCAAAAATTTTTTTGGGTGGAGGGGGGGAATTTTTAAGCCTGTCCCCTTCCCCGGGGGGTGAAAAGGGGATTTTTTTTCCTTTTCCCAAAAAGGGATGGGGTTTCTTAAAAAACAACCCCTTACTTCCCCAAAAATTACAAATCAGACCGATTCCCCGGGGGTTTTCCCCCTACTAAATTTTTTAGGGGATTTACGGGGGGAAAGGGAAAAAAAATTTGGAGCATTCCCCAAAAAAGATTATGAGCCCCATGAGTATTTTTATGGGGGGGGGGGTGGGGGAAAGGGGGGTGTTGGGGGGGAACCCCCGGGGGGGGGGTTTGGATTTTTGGGGGATCGTTCCCCTTAAACTGTAACCCTTTTTGGAAAATTTCCCCATTGGGGGGGGGGGGTTTTGGCCTTGTGGGACCCGTTTGGGGGCAAAAAATTTTGGGTTTACTGAAAGGATATCCTTTTAAAAGGGGCGTTTGGGAAAGGAGCTAAAAGGTCGAACACAATTTTAAAAAAATGGGGTTGTTAAAAGGGTTTTTGGGGACTCCCCGGTAATGGGAAAAGATTTATTTATTTTGTTTGAAAAGGGGAGAAGGGTTTCAATTAAAAGGGGAAATTTTGCATATTCACAAATTTAAGGAGGAAATTAAAAATAAAGGAAAAATGAAAAAATTTTGGAAAACCCCTTCGGGGTGGTTTTGGGTGGGGGGAATATGTTTTGGGGGGGAAAAAAAGGTGATTGTGTTGAGGGTTAATTTTGGAGTAAAAACCCACGGACCCCCGGTGGGGGTTTGAGGGGGAAAGTTTTGGTTTACCAACCCCCTTATTGGGGTTGAAGTTTGGGGTGGTAAAAAACAGCCGGGGAGGTTTTGGGCCTTAGATGCCGTCAAGGGCCCCAAGTTTGGTTAAAATTTGGAAAACGGCGTGTTGAAAAAAAGGGTGGGGGTTTAAATAATTGCCCGGGGGGGATTAGGGGGGTTTTGGTCTTTGGAAAAGGGGAAAAAGGTTTGGGGCCCTGGGCAAATAAATCATGGGGAAAGGGGGGGTGGGGTCGCCTAAAAAAGGGTTTGGGAGAGGGGGGGTTTAAAGGGGTTTTTTGGGGGGGGGCCCTTGGACTTCTAGAAAGCGGCGTGGGTTTTGATGGAGGTGGAGACAAATTTTATTTGGGGACCTGACATAGTTGGGGGTTTAGCAGGGAAATTTTAGTAAAGGGGGATTCGGGGAAACCGGTTTTTTTCATACAGTCGGTTTGATTTGGAAATGAAAAAGTAAAAATGCCTGCATTTTTTAAAGGAGGGGTTTGGGATTTTGGAAATTTTGGGGGGATTTTTTTGTGTATTTTAAAAATGAAAATATCTTCTAAACTGTTGTTTTCTGAGCCCCCTCTCCCAAAAAACAGTGATAATGTGTAAAGTGTGTGAAAGTTTTGGGAATGAGGATGAAATATTTTTTTTTTGGGGGTTTTCCCCTTTTTTTTGGGGGGTTCACCCTGCCTCGGGGGGAGGGGCCCGGGCCTTGAAAAAAAAAAAAAAATCTTTTAAAATTTTGGCTTTGTATAATTTGTATGTTTTCCAAATAGGGGAATTACATAATCCCCTTTAAATTTTATCGCTAGGCATTTAAAAAAATATTAAAAAGGGTTTAACACCTCGATTTTTAAAATGCTTTTCTAAAAGGCTTCCCTTTGAATACATAAACCTAAGCTATGGGTTCCCCGTTTTTAGCTCAGGGTTAAAGCCAGGCTAAGCATCGTTGGTTTGGACAGTTGGGGGGTTTTTGAGGTTTTTTTGGCCCTTTTCTTACATCGCCCAAAACCTCAAACACACAACTCTTCTAGCATAGTTTTGGGGTTGTTTTTCTTATTCTGGAATTTTAATTCCCTTGTACTCCAAAACTGCTTTCTGAAAGTATTGTTATATTCCCTCCCCAATTTTAAAAACCAGGGGGTTTTTGGATAGGTCTTTGTTTCAGATTTTACGTTTGTATTCACAGTTTTTTGTTGGGGTTTGATACCTTTTTGCTCATGATAAGTTAAGTGTTTTTTTATAAAGTGGGTCCCCTTTTTCACGGTTTTTGAAAAGTGTGAAAATTTTTGTTTTGGGGGTACAAAGGGTTTCATTTTTAAACACCAAGAACCTTCGAAATTTTTCGGCTTCAAAATTCCCCAATACCCATTTCTAACTTGAGTTTAAAATGAGGTCTTAACTGTTTTAACCCCTTCAGGAGTGGGGTTCGCCCTTTGGGCGCTTCCCATTTTATTACTAAACCAAAGGAGCCTGGGACTTTTTAAAAGTTTTTCTTTAGAGGGTTTTTGTACATTACCCGGGAAATATTTCATTAAATTTTTTTTGTTCTTTTATTCCTCCCCCCTTTTCTCACATTTTAAATATTTTTTGTAAAATGACGGCCAAAAAGAGGCTGGTGGGTGAGATGGTCAGGAATTTATACACAAAGATGGTTAGAAAGACACGTAAGCAAACACTATAACATATTTATTAGAAAACATTTCGGTCCTGGGACCTTGATCACTTCTAACATACAGAGGTAGAAAGACATTATATATATAGGCGGAGAGCGAGATGTGACGCACGTGACCTGAGGAATGTCATAAGAACATAAGAATGGAGGAACACTGTAGAAGGTCACGTGCGTCACATCTCACTCTCCGCCTATATATATAATGTCTTTCTACCTCTGTATGTTAGAAGTGATCAAGGTCCCAGGACCGAAACGTTTTCTAATAAATATGTTATAGTGTTTGCTTACGTGTCTTTCTAAACCAACTTGTCGGTATTTATTACCAAGGTTTATACCATACACAAAGATATATAAACATAAATATGTCTGCTGAACCATTAACATCAACAACTGTGTTTACATCATAAATGGCTTCACACAACATGGACTGGCCCAAAATTAGTATGGTTATCCAAGAGAAAAGACAGGAATAAAAGAAAATAGCTTTAATCTGCTTTCAGTCATACAACAGACATCATTTAGAACCAAGAAAGCATCCAGCTGGCAAGACACTGGCACATATATTCCTCAGTACACACCAATCTCCTAACTTACACGTTAATTTCTCAACTCGTGACGCCTCATCACTTGTTCCCTCAATTAAATATTCCTGTGCTTGCCATGTATTCTCTTTAGATTTAAAAAAACTTGGTCCCCAAGTTAAATGTTGTTTCAGTACAAGTTTCCATTCTGCCACAGTGTTTTATCAGCTTGTCAATTTTACAAACTCCTTCTCCACATTAGTGTAGTTCTCAAAGATGCCAATGGTACATAAGAAGTACAATATACAGCAAGAAATAATTAAATCAACAAAAAAAAAAAGAACAGGTTACTAACTCAACTAAAGTTGCCATCTCTGAGAATGTACACAGCTTCAGTAACTAGAGCATGGTGCTTGTTTGTAAGTAAGTTTATTCAGGTATACACAAATACAGCTACATAGATTATCATACATAGCAGCATATGTGTAAAGAACCTAGGATAACCCAAAAAAGTCAGACAGAATGACTTATTTCCAATGTTTGATTGTTGTTCACCTGCACAGCAAGAAGGAACACTACTTAAAAGGTTTGGATAAATTAAGCATAAGGTGTGTAAAATGTCTGAAGGATTTCAATGTAGAAAAATGTAAAGATGGAGACTGATGAAACTAAAAACCCTATGATACTACTTTAGAAAGTTTGGATGATAGACTCTAGAAAAAGTCTGCAGAAAAGATAAGAACGAACTTGAGTTATTATTAATAAAAAAAAAAGTAAATAAAAAACCTATAAATGAAGTTGCACAAGACTTGTACTTTATGTAACTTCATAAAAATTTAATCCCCATAAGAACAGCAAAAGTCTTACTATACAGTGAAAAGTTATAATGTTCCCTATTTTGGTAAGACAAGAAAATTCTCAACATAGTGACTTGCTGCAATACATTTTCATATCTCCACTAACAACAACTGATTAGGCACACTGAATATTCTGTTTCATTTTACAAATCATCTTTTTCACACACGCTGGCACACAAAGTTATAAAAAGTGGACAAGAGGGTGGAACTAAAAGTTGCCTTCCTGCGACCACACCACCTCTCTCCACCGTCCTGCATCACGAGACTGTATCAACCGGAAGTCCATACACTGGAGCATCATGAAGTATGGCCAGAACACCTGCTGTCTGCTTGTCTGACTTAGGTCACCTACAAGCACAAAAATAATTAATGCAACTGTGAACAATACTGTAATATACATTATACTGTACTATAATTATTATCTTTACTCTATAAATGTAGAGTTAGGAATAAAAGTATGATTACTGTATAAATAGGTTACCATTAAAAACATGTTAGTACTGTATACAGCATATGATTAACACATGTTTACAGGGTCTAACATTATATAGAGAATGGTGATTAGCCAAAAATCTAGGAGTATTAAAAACATAGCACAGTAACCCATTTTGTCAGAAAATATTTCAGATGATAGGGTGGGAGAGGCACTGTCAAGAAATTTTGATGAAAATATGAAAAAATTTTAGAGCGAGATAAACAAGTTAAGAAAGCCTAGGGAACAAATGGATTTCTCAGTTAAAAACAGAGTAGGGGAGTTAGAAGATGGGGAGATGGAGGTATTGGGTAGATGGTGGGAATATTTTGAGGAACTTTTAAATGTCGACAAAGAAAGGGAGGCGATAATTTCATGCACTGGCCAGGGAGGTATACCATCTTTAGGAGTGAAGAAGAGCAGGATGTGAGTGGTGGGGGAGGTGCGTGAGGCATTACATAGACTGAAAGGGGGTAAAAGCAGCTGGAACTGACGGGATTATGGCAGAAATGTTAAAAGAAAGGGGGGGATATAGTGTTCGAGTGGTTGGTATTTTTGTTTAATAAATGTATGAAAGATTGGAAGGTACCTAGGGATTGGCGGAGAGCATGTATAGTCCCTTTATATAAAGGGAAGGGGGACAAAAGAGATTGTAAAAATTATAGAGGAATAAGTTTACTGAGTATACCAGGAAAAGTGATGGTAGGGTTATAATTGAAAGAATTAGAGGTAAGACAGAATGTAGGATTGCGGATGAGCAAGAAGGTTTCAGAGTGGGTAGGGGATGTGTAGATCAAGTGTTTACATTGAAGCATATATGTGAACAGTATTTAAATAAAGGTAGGGAAGTTTTTATTGCATTTATGGATTTAGAAAAGACATATGATAAGGTAGTAGGTTGGTAGACAGCAACCACCCAGGGAAGTACTACCGTCTTGCCAGATGACTGTGAAACAGAAACCTGTAACTGTTTTGCATGATGGTAGGATTGCTGGTGTCTTTTTCTGTCTCATAAACACGCTAGATAACAGGGATATCTTGCTACTCCAACTTACACTTTAGTCACACTTCACAGACATGCACATGCATATATATATATACATACATCTAGGTTTTTTCTCCTTTTTCTACATAGCTCTTGTTCTTCTTTATTTCTTCTATTGTCCATGGGGAAGTGGAAAAGAATCTTTCCTCCATAAGCCATGCGTGTCGTATGAGGCGACTAAAATGCCGGGAGCAATGGGCTAGTAACCCCTTCTCCTGTAGACATTACTAAAAAAGAGAAGAAGAAAAACTTTATAAAACTGGGATGCTTGAATGTGCGTGGATGTAGTGCAGATGACAAGAAACAGATGATTGCTGATGTTATGAATGAAAAGAAGTTGGATGTCCTGGCCCTAAGCGAAACAAAGCTGAAGGGGGTAGGGGAGTTTCGGTGGGGGGAAATAAATGGATTAAAATCTGGAGTATCTGAGAGAGTTAGAGCAAAGGAAGGGGTAGCAGTAATGTTGAATGATCAGTTATGGAAGGAGAAAAGAGAATATGAATGTGTAAATGCAAGAATTATGTGGATTAAAGTAAAGGTTGGATGCGAGAAGTGGGTCATAATAAGCGTGTATGCACCTGGAGAAGAGAGGAATGCAGAGGAGAGAGAGAGATTTTGGGAGATGTTAAGTAAATGTATAGGAGCCTTTGAACCAAGTGAGAGAGTAATTGTGGTAGGGGACCTGAATCCTAAAGTAGGAAGAAACTTTTAGAGAGGGTGTGGTAGGTAAGTTTGGGGTGCCAGGTTGTAAATGATAATGGGAGCCCTTTGATTGAACTTTGTATAGAAAGGGGTTTAGTTTATAGGTAATACATATTTAAGAAAAAGAGGATAAATAAGTATACAAGATATGATGTAGGGCGAAATGACAGTAGTTTGTTTGGATTATGTATTGGTAGATAAAGACTGTTGAGTAGACTCAGGAGTACATGTTTATAGAGGGGCCAGATACAGTGGACCCCCGCTTAACGATCACCTCCAAATGCGACCAATTATGTAAGTGTATTTATGTAAGTGCGTTTGTAGTGTATGTTTGGGGGTCTGAAATGGACTAATCTACTTCACAATATTCCTTATGGGAAAAAATTCGGTCAGTACTGGCACCTGAACATACTACTGGAATGAAAGAAGTTCGTTAACAGGGGGTCCACTGTATATCAGATCACTTTCTAGTTGTAGCTACACTGAGAGTAAAAGGTAGATGGGATACAAGGAGAATAGAAGCATCAGGGAAGAGAGAGGTGAAGGTTTATAAACTAAAAGAGGAGGCAGTTAGGGAAAGATATAAACAGCTATTGGAGGATAGATGGGCTAATGAGAGCATAGGAAATGGGGTCGAAGAGGTATGGGGTAGGTTTAAAAAATGTAGTGTTAGAGTGTTCAGCAGAAGTTTGTGGTTACAGAAAAGAGGGGGGCGGGAGGGAAGAGGAGCGATTTGGTGGAATAAATGATTGTAAAGAGAGTAGTAAGGGAGAAAAAGTTAGCATATGAGTTTTTACAAAGTAGAAGTGATGCAAGGAGGGAAGAGTATATGGAGAAAAAGAGAGAGGTTAAGAGAGTGGTGAAGCAATGTAAAAGAGAGCAAATGAGAGAGTGGGTGAGATGTTATCAACAAATTTTGTTGAAAATAAGAAAAAGTTTTGGAGTGAGATTAACAAGTTAAGAAAGCCTAGAGAACAAATGGATTTGTCAGTTAAAAATAGGAGAGGAGAGTTATTAAATGGAGAGTTAGAGGTATTGGGAAGATGGAGGGAATATTTTGAGGAATTGTTAAATGTTGATGAAGATAGGGAAGCTGTGATTTCGTGTATAGGGCAAGGAGGAATAACATCTTGTAGGAGTTTAAGAAGAGCCAGTTGTGAGTGTGGGGGAAGTTCGTGAGGCAGTAGGTAAAATGAAAGGGGGTAAGGCAGCCGGGATTGATGGGATAAAGATAGAAAAGTTAAAAGCAGGTGGGGATATAGTTTTGGAGTGGTTGGTGCAACTATTTAATAAATGTATGGAAGAGGGTAAGGTACCTTTGGGATTGGCAGAGAGCATGCATAGTTCCTTTGTATAAAGGCAAAGGGGACAAAAGAGAGTGCAAAAATTATAGGGGGGTAAGTCTGTTGAGTATACCTGGTAAAGTGGGATGGTAGAGTTATTATTGAAAGAATTAAAAGTAAGACGGAGAATAGGATAGCAAATGAACAAGGAGGATTTAGGAAAGGTAGGGGGGGGTGTGGACCAGGTGTTTATAGTGAAACATATAAAGTGAACAGTATTTAGATAAGGCTAAAGAGGTCTTTGTGGCATTTATGGATTTGAAAAGGCGTATGACAGGGTGGATAGGGGGCAATGTGGCAGATGTTGCAGGTGTAGGGTGTAGGAGGTAGGTTACTGAAAGCAGTGAAGAGTTTTTATGAGGATAGTGGGGGCTCAATTTAAAGAGTACATAAGAAAGAGGGAAAATTTATTTCCCAGTAAAAGTAGGCCTTAGACAAGGATGTGTGATGTCACGTGTTGTTTAAGTATTAAGATGGGGTTGTAAGAGAAGTAAATGCGAGGGTCTTGACAAGAGGGTGGAGTTAAAAGATAAAGAATCACACATAAAGTGGGAGTTGTCACAGTTGCTCTTTGCTGATGGACACTGTGCTCTTGGGAGATTCTGAAGAGAAGTTGCAGAGATTGGTGGATGAATTTGGTAGGGTGTGCAAAAGAAGAAAATTAAAAGTGAATACGGAAAGAGTAAGGTTATGAGGATAACAAAAATATTAGGTGATGAAAGATTGGATATCAGAAGGGAGGGAGAGAGTATGGAGGAGGTGAATGTATTCAGATATTTGGGGAGTGGACGTGTCAGCGGATGGGTCTATGAAGGATGAGGTGAATCATGGAATTGATGAGGAGAAAAGGGTGAGTGGTGACTAGGAGTCTGTGGAGACAAAGAACTTTGTCCTTGGAGGCAAAGAGGGGAATGTATGAGAGTATAGTTTTACCAACACTCTTATAGGGTGTGAAGGCAGGGTGATAAATTTGTTGCAGCGAGGAGAAGGCTGGAGCAGTGGAGATGCATGTCTGAGGGCAATGTGTGGTGTGAATATTATGCAGAGAATTCGTAGTTTGGAAGTTAGGAGGAGGTGCGAGATTACCAAAACTGTTGTCCAGAGGGCTGAGGAAGGGTTTGTTGAGGTGGTTCGGACATGTAGAGAGAATGGAGCGAAACAGAATGACTTCAAGAGTGTATCAGTCTGTAGTGGAAGGAAGGGCGGGGTAGGGGTCGGCCTAGGAAAGGTTGGAGGGAGGGGGGAAAGGAGGTTTTGTGTGCGAGGGGCTTGGACTTCCAGCAGGCGTGCGTTTAGCGTGTTTGATAAGAGTGGGAAAGGAGACGAATGGTTTTTAATACTTGACGTGCTGTTGGAGTGTGAGCAAGTAACATTTATGAAGGAGTTCAGGGAAACCGGCAGGCCAGACTTGAGTCCTGGAGATGGGGAAATACAGTGCCTGCACTCTGAAGGAGGGGTGTTAATGTTGCAGTTTAAAAAAACTGTATTGTAAAGCACCCTTCTGGCAAGACAGTGAAAGGAGTGAATGATGGTGAAAGTTTTTCTTTTTGGGCCAAATCTGCCTTGGTGAGAATCGGCAGTGTGATAATAAAATAAAAAAAAATATGTAGAGTGGATAGGGGAGCAAAAGTGGCAGATGTTGCAAGTATATGGAATAGGTGGTAAGTTACTAAATGCTGTAAAGAGCTTTTATGAGGATAGTGAGGCTCAGGCTAGGGTGTGTAGAAGAGAGGGAGAATACTTCCGGTTTTAAAAGTTAATTCTTAGACAGGGATGTGTAATGTCCCATGGTTGTTTAATATATTTTATAGATGGGGCTGTAAAGAAGTAATGCTAGGGTGGGGGGGAGGGGGGGGGGGTTAAATTATGGGGAATCAAATACAAAATGGGAATTGACACAGTTGCTTTTTGTTGATAATACTGTACTTATGGGAGATTCTAAAGAAAATTGCAAAGGTTAGTGGATGAGTTTGGGAGTGTGGTAAAGGTTAAAAAGTTTTTAAAGTGAACATAGAAAAAAGTAAGGTGATTTGGGGTAAAATGATTTAGATATAGAAAAAATGGTTTCAAAAATTGGGGGGGAGAAGTATGGAAAAAGTGAATGTTTTTAGATTTTCTTGGGGTTGACGTGTCAGCAGTGGGAAAAAGGGAAATACAATGCCGCACTTTAAAAGGGGGGGGTTTTGGGATATTGCGTTTGGAGGGTTTTTGTTTTGTTCTTTATCGTATTGTTCTAAATGTTGTGTTTGAGCACCCCTGCAAAAAAACAGGATTAGTGTGGTGGGTGAAAGTGTTGAATGATGATGAAAGTATTTTCTTTTTGGGGTTTTCTTTTTTTTTGGGTCACCCTGCTGGGGGGGGAGACGGCCAGTCTTTTTAAAAAAAAAAAAAAAAAAAAAAAAAAAAGGTTTAATTAGAAGATGGAGAAAAAGGTGAGTGGTGCATTGAGGTATATGGGGAGAAAAAAAAAACGTTATCTTGGAGGCAAAGGGGAATGTATGAAAGTATGTAGTACCAAACCTTATATGGGTGTAAAGCTTGGGTTGTAAATGCGCAGCGAGGGGCATTTGGGGCGGGGAGATGTCCTGTCAAAGGGCAATATGTGTGTAAATTTATGCAAAAAATTCGGAGTGTAAAAATTAGGAAAAGGTGGGGGAGTTAATAAAAGTATTAGTCAGAGGTGAAGAGGGGTTGTTTAGGGGGTTTGGTCATTTAGAGAGAATGGATCAAAGAGAAAGGGATGGAGAGGTTTAAAAACTGTAGGGGAAGGAAGGCGGGTAGGGGTTTTTCCCGAAAAAGGTTCGAAGGAAGGGGTAAGGGGGGTTTTGTTGGCGAGGGGCTTTGGGTTCCGCAGGGGTGCGTGGCATGTTCGTAGGGGGTGAAAGGAGACAAATGGTATTTGGGACTGCGATTGTTGGAGTGTGAGCAGGGGAAAATTTAGTGAAGGGATTTTAGGGGGAAAACCGGTTTTTTTTTATATACCGGATTGAGTTGGAATGGGAAGTCAATGCCGCACTTGAAAGGGGGGGTTTTTGGGATATTGGCGTTTTGGGGGTATGTTGTGTTCTTTTTTGTTTATGTTCTAAACTGTTGTGTTTGAGCACTCTGCAAAACGTGTTATGTTTGTGAGTGAGGGGAAAGTGTTGAATGTTTTGAAAGTATTTTCTTTTTGGGGGGGTTTTCTTTTTTTTGGGCACCCTGCCCCGGCGGGGATGGTCGTTGTTTGAAAAAAAAATAATTATATTGTAGGTACTTGGCTGGTAGACGCAAAAGCCTGGGGGGTAATACTGTTTTTGCCAATGAGTGTAAAAAGAAAGCCTGTAATTGTTTTCATGATGGTAGGATTTGGTGTCCATTTTTTGTCTCAAAACTGCAAGATTTGAGGTACATTTCTACTTCTATTAACACTTAGTTCACACTACACATACATGTACAAGCATATATATACACACCCCTCTGGGTTTTCTTGTATTTTCTTACTAGTTCTTGTTCTTGTTTATTTCCTATCTCCATGGGGAAGTGGAACAGAATTCTTCCTCCGTAAGCCATGCGTGTCGTAAGAGGTGACTAAAATGCTGGGAGCAAGGGGCTAGTAACCCCTTCTCCCGTATATATTACTAAATTTAAAAGGAGAAACTTTTCTTTTTCCTTTTGGGCCACCCTGCCTCGGTGGGATATGGCTGGTGCTTTGAAAGAAAGATATACGTACAATATATATAAAGGCTTGCACTGCTTAAAACTGTTTCACCTCTGAAAATCATGGTACAGGGATACCTCATGTCTGTCATTCTTCTTTCCAATAACTGATCTAGCAATAAATACAGTAGCTGAACTTTAGAAATAATATGGCTTAAATAAATACTGTAATAGACTTGCATAATGCACATGTAATGTGTCTACCATGAAACTTACGACAACTGATTATACTGCTGGTAAAAGAAAAATATATGAATAATTAAAAGGCAACATAGCCCATAGAGGAGTTCATAAAAAAAAGATAATTAATAACAATTCAAGTAATATCACAAAAGTTTAGAACCCATAATGCACTGATTGACTCCAGGGAGGAAGAAAGCAGTGATAATCATTTTGGTGAACACACTCATCAAAGATCCCATCCAAGGAGCGTGCCTTGGTGCTGGTTATGGTATCTTAATCCAAGGAACTGAAGCAGCTTTCCCTTCCTTGGATCATACCTGATTGCATCTTATTCCCCAGGAACTGCATGACTTTACAGGTTCAGTGTTTTGCCACAAATACAATGAAAATAATAATGGATTATGGAAAATGAATCTTGCCTGAATAATATGCTTACATTATTCAGGCAAGACAGTGATGGAGTGAATGATGGTGAAAGTTTTTCTTTTTCGGGCCACCCTGCCTTGGTGGGAATCGGCCGGTGTGATTAAAAAAAAAAAATTGTTAAAACATTCTGGGTCTCACTGTCTTGGTGGGAAATGGCCAATGTTTTAATTTTTTTTTTCAAGTTACCAATTATTATTCCTGTGCTGGACATTAGCTATCCAAACACACTCAACAAAATGCAACATGAAAGGCTAAGTCCAGATCATTAAAGCTCATGGAGTCACTTAATATGCTAAACTGTATAAAAAAAATGCCTGAAATGGAAGAAAGAGTACAGTAATTATAAATGGAAAAAGAATTCAACTGGAATAATGTTTTTAGTAAGGACCACAAGAATCTAAACAGGAACAATTCCTGTTAGTGATATCCAGTACATCAGTGATCAAGTAAAGCATCTTGAACTGAAATCAGTGACTGAGTAAAGTATATCAGTATTGGCCATTTTTACAGTATCTACTCTGGTTAAAAAACAGCCGATGGTAAAAAGGTCTACTAAAATCTATCACCAGGAGTGGGTAAAAACTGAGTCATTTCCAAGATGGTCACCACCGATCCTGAGAATCAGAAAGGCAGCTGTAACTTCCTTATTATTACGTGTAGAATAATAATTTTTTATCTAATCTAGGGTTTTAAGGGTCAAGGAATCCCTTGTTGCCAATGTATTTATGATTTAGTCCATTGAATCTATAGATCCAAGATGGTGGCCAACACTTCAAGTTTGGAGGAAGCGTTTTTCTTCTGTTGCTTCTCAATATCACACTGAGAATCAATGTAAGGGTCTTGTGTAATTTTTTTAATCTTCATTAAATAATAGATATCTTACCTTCTTTCAGTTATTTTATTGAATATTGTAGGTTTTTATCTTTTATTCAGGTGTGGAAGACGAGTGCTTCAAGCTAAGCCTATGAGAGTTGTTTGACTTGCAAAGAAAGGATGTACTTTCACACCACGACATGGATAGGAATGAAGAGTGATACTGATTTTTTGAACTGGGACTGGAGACCAGACCATCACCTTGTACACACAATATCTGATATGAAGGATGCACCTGACACTGAAAAATAGTACATTACAATTGCAAAACTGGTTGCAGTACTCCCTGTTGCAGTGGCAAAAGATATGGACTTCCAGGTACTTCAGCATGTAGATCATGCCAATTAACATCCTGTGAAAATCTTTACAACTAGTTTTACCTGGAGTATACTTGGAGAAGGTTTTTGGGGTTAATGACCCTGCAGCCCAGTCTGTGACCAGGTCTCACTGTTGGCCGCATGCAACCCAATGCATAAACCACAGCCCGGCTGGTCAGGTACTGACTTTAGGTGCTTGTCCAGCGCCTTCTTGAAGACAGCCAGGGGTTTATAGAGGAACTAGAGGATATATTTGAGGACTAAACTGAAACAGTGACACTGACTCAATTTTAACCTCCTCCTGGTGGTCAGATGTTGGTAGACTTTTTCTGTCATTAACAACACCCATTATGGCAATAATATGTTGACAGATCTCTCGTTAGATTTTTTTTGGGGGTCTGGTGTTACACTGATCCACCTATTAACTTTTTCAAGCACTTGTTCAAAATAATTATAAATAACCTTTGAAATAGTCGTCGTGAACTTCCATGGCAATCTGCTTGATATTTTTAAGCACATGTGGAGAGTTGAATATCATATCCTGTAGGAAGTCCACCTCTGAGAGCTCCACATCCAGCTTCACAAAGTCAATCTCTGTCCCTGCCAGGCCCAGGTCATTGACCAAGTTCTCAAAGCGATCCACCTGAAGACATACACACACTTCAGTAACATTTACCAGCACATTTATTATTAAATTCATGGGAAACATAAAGCTCATAAGGGTGTTAATCAGGTTAAATTCAAGGAAGGGAAGTTGCAGTTCCTTGGAACACTTGTTAAACAAAGCTAATAAAGATCTACAATTTGCTTAGACTAAATTTAAAAGTGTAGTTTCCAGTACTTATTACTTGTCTCTTTTGTGGACTGTAAATCAAATGAGGATAAGATCTCAAGAGTGAAAAACTACTCTGAAGGTTTCCCTGCACAAGGTCTGTTGCAGGATGACACACATTGTTCCCTTGACCTATAAAAAGAAAGCATGTCAGTAAGGGGGTTACTGCTGTTTCTGCCCTCTAGTGATCCCTGTAATGAGTAGGCTAGTAAACTTATTGGTCAGTGAATGAATGAATGACTCTTGATCCAAGGAAGTATAATTACCCTCCTTTTCTTGGATTAAATGGGATTACCTCCAATTCCTCAGGTGCAGTGTGACCTGTACGAGTATAGTGCCTTCCTATGAATATACGTACAATAATACTAATAATAACAATAATAGTAAAATAAAAATAAAAGCAATAATAATAATAATAATAATAGAAACTGCAGTCTTTTGTTAACTCATGAGTAGTACTCCCTTTAAGGAGATGCACTGATGCTGGTGTAGGGTTCTTGATCCAAGGAATGGAAGCTACACTCCCTTGGATCAAACCTGGTAACATTCCATTGCCCAGGCACAGTGTGCTCCATATGAATTTAGTGTTTCCTTGCAACTATAATAGTAATACAGTCAAACCTTTTATGGTATACGTACTCCAAGTATGGACCTCTCATTTGCAGGTTTCGGCAATTAACCCTTAAATTGTCCAAACGCAGATCTACGTTTGCGCATGTAGCACTCCGACCTTGATTTTCTCCATAAGAAACAATGTAAAAAAGACTTAGATCTATGTTCGGAGCGCTACGCGAGCAAACGTAGATCTACGTTTGGACAGCTTAAGGGTTAAAAAAAACTCACTGGACAAATGTTGGAATTGAGGACAAACATTGAAAATTCTGCATTCTGTCCAGTGATATGTGTCTGGTTGTCTTCTGAAGTAACAGACCAAGTCTGATGACTTAACATTTGTCATATTCTCAGTCTGGCTGTCTTCTGCATCATCAGACCAAGTCTGCTAATGCAGAAGACAACTGGACAATAACAAAAAATTGGCAATTGGCAGTATCACATACCCCCTATTCCTTATTCGTTCATTAATGCGAGGTTTCACTGTACTGTCATATGAATAATGTGTGCTGGAGTGATTTAGCAAAAGTAATGAGATATGTTCATCAGCAAAGTCCTGTAGATTCAAGGAAGGTTCCTTGATCCTGGTGAGGGGGCTCTTGATTTAAGGAATTGGACCTGTGCTCTATTTCCTTATATCAAATCTGAGTCCCTTCCATTTCTCCAGGTGCTGTATGTCCCCTACAGGTTTAGCACTCCCCTGCTATGAATGTGTCTGAGGACTGATCAACTTTGAGAGACCAGACCAACTAGAGATGAAAAAAAAAGTCACAATAATGTAGCTAGAACAATTTAGCCAAAACCTGCACTCAAGAGAGGAACCTTATGATGGTGTTTTAGCCCATTTTAAACCTTCTCTACTCTTCTCACCCCAGTTGTGACTTACCAAGTCATCATTATAGGGTTTGTCTCTTAAGTGTGGGGTTTTGCTGAACTGTAGCAACCATTTTTTTTTACTACGGTGAAAGTCTTAACCCTTAAACGGTCCAAATGTATATATATACGTTCTCTCATGTAGCGCCCTAAACGCATATATATGTTTTCCTTGTCATTCATTCAACATTGCCACGATAAGCCTGAGTCGCCTAGACATGAGAGAATGGGTGTGCGCACTCGCTGTGTGCCATATGAAAAGAATTGAGGATGCCTGGGCACAATATGCTCTTTTTTCCTATTATTAAAAAAATGTTTTTTTTTTCCTCCAAAAATTTGGGGTGCTACGCGAGAGAACGTATATATGTACATGTATACGTCTGGACCATTTAAGGGTTAATTAACCATTATACCATGATGCAAAAGGATTCTCTTGAGTATTCATTTGCAGATGATGCATTTATACAGTACCTATGTTATCCTATGACTCCCAATACTTTGTTATCTTGTTATCCTATCACTCTTAGTATGTATTATGTTATCCTAACATTCCCTATGATTAAGTACTTTGTTACAGTATCACTCTTAGTATTTTATAGATGATTCAGTTTTAGGTTGCCTACCTTTCTCATAGCAAAATTGGTGCCCATGCCAATCTTCTTGGTGCCCTTGTAGTTAGCAATGCCTACAGCAAAAAAACTGAACATTTAGCTGAATGTTGGTGGTCTTCCTTACCCATGGTGGGGTCGAATGCATACACCTATAAATGAAATAATAATAATTTGATTTCAGCATGATACATGTTTGTACGAAGGAGTATAACAATTGGGTGTACATGCCAAAAGCCCCTTTATATGCAGAGTTTTTTGGGTTAGATTCATACATATGTACCTTTCAACCCAATACATGTACTTTCTCAGTTAGCTTTAATAGATACATCTGTTATTTTGAAAAAAATCCAGGTAACAACACAAAAAAAGTAAAAGCCTCTACTTAATGTATCTCCGTTAACTGACTTCAGCAGTTATGGACAAAAAAAAATTGTCCAAATAAATTTTGTAAGCATCAGACAGTGGACAAAAGTACACAGTGCTGGATTTTGTCAAGCAATAGTGTCCGGATATCTTCTGAATCATTGGACCAAGTCCAATGACTATGACGTTTATTCAGTATGGGTCAGAGCAGCTATGTCCAGAACCTTTCCATTTTCATTGTTCTCTGACCCACAGGCCACCTGTGTCAATTTGTTTGTGCTTATTCACACACACACTTGTCATTCAGTCTCCAATTTTCTCTGGATTTAAAGCATTTTGTGACTATTAACACATTAAGTAAAACACAATTAACAATGGCTTTTTAACCATGTGGTGGTGCCAAGAGGAAGCATGGTTCTCAGTGTTAAAAAGAAACTTGAGCTAAAATGCAGTAGGCTGAGTCTGGCATCTTAGTAGGATGTGTAAGTGAGGAATTTTTTATTATTATCACACCGGCCGATTCCCACCAAGGCAGGGTGGCCCGAAAAAGAAAAACTTTCACCATCATTCACTCCATCACTGTCTTGCAAGAAGGGTGCTTTACACTACAGTTTTTAAACTGCAACATTAACACCCCTCCTTCAGAGTGCAGGCACTGTACTTCCCATCTCCAGGACTCAAGTCCGGCCTGCCGGTTTCCCTGAATCCCTTCATAAATGTTACTTTGCTCACACTCCAACAGCACGTCAAGTATTAAAAACCATTTGTCTCCATTCACTCCTATCAAACACGCTCACGCATGCCTGCTGGAAGTCCAAGCCCCTCGCACACAAAACCTCCTTTACCCCTCCCTCCAACCCTTTCCTAGGCCGACCCCTACCCGCCTTTCCTTTCCCACTACAGACTGATACACTCTGAAGTCATTCTGTTTCGCTCCATTCTCTCTACATGTCCGAACCCCCTCAACAACCCTTCCTCAGCCCTCTGGACAAACAGTTTTGGTAACCCCGCACCTCCTCCTAACTTCCAAACTACGAATTCTCTGCATTTTTATTCACACACAAAATTGCCCTCTAGACATGACTTCTCCACTGCCTCCAGCCTTCTCCTCGCTGCAACATTCATCACCCACGCTTCACACCCATATAAGAGCGTTGGTAAAACTATACTCTCATACATTCCCCTCTTTGCCCCCAAGGACAAAGTTCTTTGCCCTCCACAGACTCCTAAGGCCCCACTCACTCTTTTTCCCTCATCAATTCAAATGATTCACCTCATCTTTCATAGACCCATCCGCTGACACGTCCACTCCCAAATATCTGAATACGTTCACCTCCTCCATACTCTCTCCCTCCAATCTGATATTCAATCTTTCATCACCTAACTTTTTGTTTCCTCATAACCTTTCTCTTTCCCGTATTCACCTTTAATTTTCTTCTTTTGCACCACCCTACCCAAAATTTATCCACCAATCTCTGCAACTTTCTTCAGAAATCTCCCAAAAGCACAGTGTCATCAGCAAAAAGCAGCTGTGACAACTCCCACTTTGTGTGTGATTCTTATCTTTTAACTCCCCGCCTCTTGCCAAGACCCTCGCATTTACTTCCTTACAACCCCATCTATAAATATATTAAACAACCACGGTGACATCACACATCCTTGTCTAAGGCCTACTTTTACTGGGAAAAAATTTCCCTCTTTCCTACATACTCTAACTTGAGCCTCACTATCCTCGTAAAAAAATCTTCACTGCTTTCAGTAACCTACCTCCTACACCATACACTTGCAACATCTGCCACATTGCCCCCCTATCCACCCTGTCATACGCCTTTTTCCCAAAACCATAAATGCCACAAAAACCTCTTTAGCCCTTTTCTAAATACTGTTCACTTATATGTTTCACTGTAAACACCTGGGCCACACACCCCCTACCTTTCCTAAAGCCTCCTTGTTCATCTGCTATCCTATTCTCCGTCTTACTCTTAATTTTTCAATTATAACTCTACCAAACACTTTACCAGGTACACTCAACAGACTTATCCCCCTATAATTTTTGCACTCTCTTTTATCCCCTTTGCCTTTATACAAAGGAACTATGCATGCTCTCTGCCAATCCCTAGGTACCTTACCCTCTTCCATACATTTATTAAATAATTGCACCAACCACTCCAAAACTATATCCCCACCTGCTTTTAACATTTCTATCTTTATCCCATCAATCCCGGCTGCCTTACCCCCTTTCATTTTACCTACTGCCTCACGAACTTCCCCCACACTCACAACTGGCTCTTCCTCACTCCTACAAGATGTTATTCCTCCTTGCCCTATACACGAAATCACAGCTTCCCTATCTTCATCAACATTTAACAATTCCTCAAAATATGATGTTAAAAGGCAAACAGTGTCTGATATCTATAGAAACAAGGACAAACTTACAGATTATGTTCTTAGCTTTAGTGTAGATGCTAGATAAACTCAAAATAAAGGTTGTTCCGAGTAACAACTATCAATCACAGCAGTTTACACCTCATCTCTCCACCACGAAAAGGTAAGTAGAATTAATGTAAATTATGTATATTACAGTACAGTACTATAAAATTACTATACAGTACTGTAGTACTACAGGCTACAATACCTGTATTCTTAGTATCCAGGTGTCTTCTGAATCAGTACACCAAGTCCGCTGATTCAGAACTTTGTTTACCTGGAGAGAGTTCCGGGGGTCAACGCCCCCGCGGCCCGGTCTGAGACCAGGCCTCCTGGTGGATCAGAGCCTGATCAACCAGGCTGTTGCTGCTGGCTGCACGCAAACCAACATACGAGCCACAGCCCGGCTGATCCGGAACTGACTTTAGGTGCTTGTCCAGTGCCAGCTTGAAGACTGCCAGGGGTCTGTTGGTAATCCCCCTTATGTGTGCTGGGAGGCAGTTGAACAGTCTCGGGCCCCTGACACTTATTGTATGGTCTCTTAACGTGCTAGTGACACCCCTGCTTTTCATTGGGGGATGGTGCATCGTCTGCCAAGTCTTTTGCTTTCGTTTGTGGGTGATTTTCGTGTGCAAGTTCGGTACTAGTCCCTCTAGGATTTTCCAGGTGTATATAATCATGTATCTCTCCCTCCTGCGTTCCAGGGAATACAGGTTTAGGAACCTCAAGCGCTCCCAATAATTGAGGTGTTTTATCTCCGTTATGCGCGCCGTGAAAGTTCTCTGTACATTTTCTAGGTCGGCAATTTCACCTGCCTTGAAAGGTGCTGTTAGTGTGCAGCAATATTCCAGCCTAGATAGAACAAGTGACCTGAAGAGTGTCATCATGGGCTTGGCCTCCCTAGTTTTGAAGGTTCTCATTATCCATCCTGTCCATTTTTCTAGCAGATGCGATTGATACAATGTTATGGTCCTTGAAGGTGAGATCCCCGACATGATCACTCCCAGGTCTTTGACGTTGGTGTTTCGCTCTATTTTGTGGCCAGAATTTGTTTTGTACTCTGATGAAGAATTTAATTTCCTCATGTTTACCATATCTGAGTAATTGAAATTTCTCATCGTTGAACTTCATATTGTTTTCTGCAGCCCCACTGAAAGATTTGGTTGATGTCTGCCTGGAGCTTTGCAGTGTCTGCAATGGAAGACACTGTCATGCAGATTCGGGTGTCATCTGCAAAGGAAGACACGGTGCTGTGGCTGACATCCTTGTCTATGTCGGATATAAGGATGAGGAACAAGATGGGAGCGAGTACTGTGCCTTGTGGAACAGAGCTTTTCAACGTAGCTGCCTCGGACTTTACTCTGTTGACGACTACTCTCTGTGTTCTGTTAGTGAGGAAATTATAGATCCATCGACCGACTTTTCCTGTTATTCCTTTAGCACGCATTTTGTGCGCTATTACGCCATGGTCACACTTGTCGAAGGCTTTTGCAAAGTCTGTATATATTACATCTGCATTCTTTTTGTCTTCTAGTGCATTTAGGACCTTGTCGTAGTGGTCCAATAGTTGAGACAGACAGGAGCGACCTGTTCTAAACCCATGTTGCCCTGGGTTGTGTAACTGATGGGTTTCTAGATGCGTGGTGATCTTGCTTCTTAGGACCCTTTCAAAGATTTTATGATATGGGATGTTAGTGCTATTGGTCTGTAGTTCTTTGCTGTTGCTTTACTGCCCCCTTTGTGGAGTGGGGCTATGTCTGTTGTTTTTAGTAACTGTGGGACGACCCCCGTGTCCATGCTCCCTCTCCATAGGATGGAAAAGGCTCGTGATAGGGGCTTCTTGCAGTTCTTGATGAACACAGAGTTCCATGAGTCTGGCCCTGGGGCAGAGTGCATGGGCATGTCATTTATCGCCTGTTCGAAGTCATTTGGCGTCAGGATAACATCGGATAGGCTTGTGTTAATCAAATTTTGTGGCTCTCTCATAAAAAATTAATTTTGATCTTCGACTCTCAGTCTGGTTAGTGGCTTGCTAAAAACTGAGTCATATTGGGACTTGAGTAGCTCACTCATTTCCTTGTTGTCATCTGTGTAGGACCCATCTTGTTTAAGTAGGGGCCCAATACAGTGGACCCCCGCATAACGATGGCATCACATAGCGATTATTTCGCATACCGCTTACTTTAATTGCAAAAATTTTGCCTCACATACCGCTTAAAAACCCGCTTACCGATTTTCTTCCGAGACGCGCTCACATGTTCCGCCGGTGGCATTGTTTACCAGCCAGCCTCCGCGGTAACATCCAAGCATACAATCGGAATATTTCGTATTATTACAGTGTTTTCGGTGCTGTTTCTGGAAAATAAGTGACCATGGGCCCCAAGAAAGCTTCTAGTGCCAACCCTGTGGTAAAAAGGGTGAGAATTAGTATGGAAATTAAGAAAGATTTTGAAGGGTTTGGGGCTAACCCTGAGAAGCCTATGCCAGTTGTGGAATCCATTGTGCCTACTTCAAAAATTAAGGAAATGTGTGCACAGTGGGGGTTTAACTGCAAACCTTATGGATGAAAATCACCCTGACACAGCTGTTGCAAGCCGTGCTGGTGACTATTTCAATGACAATGTTGTGGCCCATTTTAGACAAATCGTAAAGGAACGGGAGGTACAGAGCTCTATGGACAGATTTGTTGTGCGACAGAGGTCCAGTGACTCTCAAGCTGGTCCTAGTGGCATTAAAAGAAGAAGGGAAGTAACCCCGGAAAAGGACTTGCTACCTCAGGTCCTAATGGAAGGGGATTCCCCTTCTAAACAGTAAGAAGATAATGCTCTCCCCTCCTCCCATCCCATCAATCATCACCAGATCTTCAATAAAAGTAAGTGTCATGTAAGTGTGCATGCCTTTTTCAGTTTGTGTGTATTAAAATTAACATTTCATGTGGTAAAAAAAATTTTTTTTCATACTTTTGGGTGTCTTGCACAGATTAATTTTATTTCCATTATTTCTTATGGGGAAAATTCATTCACATAACGATTATTTCGCATAACAATTACCCCTCTTGCACGGATTAAAATCGTTAACCGGGGGTCCACTGTACTGGACGTTGTTCTCGATTTTGATTTGGCATAGGAGAAGAAATACTTTGGGTTTCTTTCGATTTCATTTATGGCTTTTAGTTCTTCCCGCAATTCCTGACTCCTAAAGGATTCTTTTAGCTTAAGTTCGATGCTTGCTATTTCTCTGACCAGTGTCTCCCTACGCATTTCAGATATATTGACCTCTTTTAGCCGCTCTGTTATTCTTTTCCGTCGCCTGTAAAGGGAGCGCCTGTCTCTTTCAGTTTTACATCTACTCCTCCTTTTTCTTAGAGGAATAAGCCTTGTGCATACATCGAGTGCTACCGAGTTAATCTGTTCTAGGCATAAGTTGGGGTCTGTGTTGCTTAGTATATCTTCCCAGCTTATATCGGTTAGGACTTGGTTTACTTGGTCCCACTTTATGTTTTTGTTATTGAAGTTGAATTTGGTGAATGCTCCCTCGTGACTAATCTCATTATGTCGGTCTAGGGCTCCGCGCATACATGACTGAACCTCAATTATGTTGTGATCTGAGTATATTGTTTTTGATATGGTGATATTTCTTATCAGATCATCATTGTTAGTGAAGATGAGGTCTAGTGTATTCTCCAGTCTAGTAGGCTCTATTATTTGCTGGTTTAAATTGACACATTTATTTCACAATTTAGAAGTTTCAGAAAATCAGCAACATCACACACCCTCTCCCCATCATTAGTCTGTTAATTTAAGGGTTTACTGTAATTATTTCAAATGTGTTCACTTGTCAGCTTGAAAGTGATCTGGTCAACAATTATGTAAACCTGGTATTACTATTTTTTTTGAGATTAAGACACATGTGCAACATCTGGGTATCTTTATTGTAGACGTTTCGCCATCCAGTGGCTTTATCAATACAAATTCTAGGACATAACTTGAAGACAGTAGAACTATGTACAGAAGATGAGGTAATCAGTCCCTCAACCTAGGAGTAGGTGCGAAGAGCACCACGACTATGGTGCTCTTCACACCTACTCCTAGGTTGAGGGACTGATTACCTCATCTTCTGTACATAGTTCTACTGTCTTCAAGTTATGTCCTAGAATTTGTATTGATAAAGCCACTGGATGGCGAAACGTCTACAATAAAGATACCCAGATGTTGCACATGTGTCTTAATCTCATTTTGTCGGTATTGTATACCATTCGTACACAACTATTTTTTTTGTCAGATATGGGAAAATTTCTGCTAGTAATGACCCACATAGTGGAGCTTTGCTACTGTGACTGCAGCCTGCTGGCTTAATGGCATGTTAGATAGGTATGAGTGGAGAAAATGGTTTTTGGGACTTGATAAGCTGTTGGTGTGTGAGCAGGGTAATATTCTGTGAATGGATTCAGGGAAACCAGTTAACCAGACTTGAGTCCTGGAGGGAGAGAGTACAATGCCCACACTTTAAAGGAGGGGCTTAGGTTATTTGCTGTTTGGAGTGACATCTGAACTGTTATATTTGAATGCCTCTTCAAAGACAGTGATTATGTGTGAATGATGGTGAAAGTAGTTCTTTTTTTTGGGTCACTCTGCCTTGGTGGGAGATTGCCATTGTGTTGAAATAAGTTCAGTAACCTCGTGCATACTGTATTCCTCATCGTGCCTTTCAATCTTTAAACAAACTGCAAAATAGAATGACTGGGAGGTGTATAAATCTGTAGTGGAGGGAAGGCAGGGTTAGTCATCCTAGGAAAGGTTGGAGAGAGGAAGTAAAGGAGGTTTTGTGTGCAAGGGGTCTTAGATACCCAGCAAGCATGTGTGAATGTGTTAGATAGGAGTGGGTGGAGGCAAGTGGTTTTTATGACTTGACATGCTGTTGGGACATGAGCAAGGTAACAGCTATGAAGAGATTTGGGGAAACCTGTTAGTGAGACTAGAGTTCTGAAGGTAGAAAGTACAGTGCCTGCACTCTGAAGGAGGAGTGGAGATATTGCAGTTTGGAGGGGGCATTTGAAGTGTATTGGCACACCTCTGGCAAGCCAGTGATGGGGGCGAGTGATGGTGAAAATGTTTGTTTTTCAAACCACCCTATCTCAGTGGGAGATGGTCAGCATGTTAAAAAAAATTCAACTTTTCAGTCTACCCTGAACTTTATGATGGTCCAAGCTGAACTGACACTTCATCCACCTTCATATTCAATGTAAACCACATAATATCCAAATTCTGTAAACTCAGCATTGTAATCCTTATAGAGAATAAACTCGATTTGATACAGCCACATTCAGTCAGCCACTCACCCAGCCAAAGGCCACCCACCCAGCCAGCCAGCTACATATTATACATGTTCCAGAGTTGTTTCTCTTTACTTAGGGTATAGGTTATACTACATTCTGGTAGGGTGACACTACCAGTGGTATTCTCCCATTCCACTGTGTGGACAATACATAAAGATAACAGTAACATATGATACTGTATGCGATGTAAAATTTACAATACAGTTCACTACCATGTATGCATTATATACAGTACATAAATTAAAATATAACAATAGAAGTAAATTATGGTAAAAAGAATGAAATAATGATTGTACATTACATTACAGTACTATGTAGGTAGTTTATATAGGAAAAGTTTGACATTATGCCCTACCAACAAGAGCATTCACATTGCTAAACTCACAAACTAGTATTTAGTCACTTAGCATTTAGTCAACTTATTCCACAACTTGTAATAATTTAGGGTTAAGAATTAATCTAAGTTTGCCCGAAATGCTTAGCCATGCTAGGTGTTCTAGTGGCCCCCTCTGCAATTAGTATTTTATTACATGTAAACCACACAATAGCCAAAATCTGTAAACCCCGCATTGTAATCCTTATAGAGAATAAACTTTGATTTGATTTGATTTGATTTGATTTGATTATATTGTTCAGCATTCTCACCTTACAGCCAAATTTTGCAATATCATCCTCAAAGGACCATTCATTATTGATGCCAAAGGAGAAGACTGTACAGTTGCCAGGTTTAATGTTGAACCTCTTGTCCAGACACACAAACTTGCGTCCATCACTGGGTGCAGGCTTTCTACCTCCAAACTGAACCTAAGAGAGAATTAGAAAACACACCATGAGTATCATTTTGCACAAATAAAAGAAAATTATGGGAATTACAGACTATACAGGTAAATATATTGCTTCTTGATCAAATAGTTAAGTGAAGCAACACTGGGTTAATTGTAGGGGAACTGTGAACACCAGATTCTAATGACATTCCCTTGTTTTCTGAAGTTTCATCACAGCTCAGTAGTAACTATCAATCACTACTACTATTACCTTAGATCTCTCAGTCAATATTTCTCCTACTTGTCATTAAAATCACCAGTACCCAAGTTTATTTGGCATTCAAAAGACTCGGGTTCAATTCTGGGCGAGGTGGAACATTTTTTTTATTATTATTAACACACTGGCCGATTCCCACCAAGGCATGGTGGCCCGAAAAAGAAAAACTTTCACCAATAAAGGGGTAACCCCAAACAGTTGTCAACTAGTAAGTGTATCTCATGACTTCATTCAAAAAGAACTAAGCAGGTTAAACCCAACTAAGAGCACAGGCCCTGATAACATCCCGTCTAAGTTCCTAAAAGATGGTGCTTCTGAACTGTCAATCCCTATTGCTCACATAATAAATCTATCAATCACCACTAATACCGTACCGGAGGGGTTCAAGGAGGCCAGAGTTACTCCTATCTTCAAGAAAAATAATAGGTCTGATGTAAGCAACTATAGACCTGTTAGTATACTCAGTATAATATCTAAAATTCTGGAGAGGGCGGTGTATTCTCAAGTAGTTAAGTACCTTAATGACAACAGCATTCTCCATAGCTATCAATCGGGCTTTAGAAGATCCTACTCAACCGATACCTCCTTATTAATCTGATGGATTACCTGAGAACTGAAATGTCAAAAGGGAACCTCATAGGTATGGTAACCTTAGACCTGCAAAAGGCCTTCGATACACAATATATTATGTAAGAAACTTCAAGCTATCGGTATAGGTTCTGTAGACTGGTTTAAGTCCTACCTTAGCAACAGGAGACAAATAGTCAAAATCAACAAAATGGAATCAGAACCCCTGCCGATAACATGTGGAGTTCCCCAAGGTAGTATTCTGGGTCCCTTATTATTCTTATGTTATGTCAATGATATGCCTATCAGTGTCAAGTGCAAACTCCTACTGTATGCAGATGACAGTGCTCTGTTAGTGACAGGTAAAGACCCACAAGATATTGCTAATGTTTTAAACATGGAACTGGAGTCCTGCAGCAAATGGTTAGTAGACAACAAACTATCATTACACCTAGGGAAAACTGAAGCCATTCTCTTTGGAACGAAACATAAACTGAGAAGGGTAAATAATTTTAATGTTCAGTGTAATGGGGAGTCCATCACTTTGGTTTCATCAGTAAAATATCTGGGAATCCCCTTTGACCCATGCATGTCAGGAGAATTGATAGGGAACAGTGTAGTAAAGAAAGCGAATGCCAGACTGAAGTTCCTGTATAGACAAGCACAGTGTCTACCTACTGAGGCTCGCAGGACCCTATGTCTAGCCCTTATACAATGCCATATGGATTACGCTTGCTCTTCATGGTACTCTGCCTTGACAAAAAAAACTAAAAGATAGACTGCAAATCACCCAGAACAAAATCGTAAGATTCATCCTGGGGCTGGGACCAAGAGAACATGTAGGCCAGGATGAATTACAGCAGTTGGATATGCTGAATGTTGAAGACAGAGTAAAACAACTGAAGCTAAATCATGTTTATAAAATTGCTCACGAACAGTGTCCAGAATATCTTGCTGTCAATTTTGTCAAGGTTGGGAACCAAAGCAATCATAGTACTAGGGGGAGAGAGCACAACTTTGTAGTACCCACAGTCAGTGGCCAGGCTTCAAACACCTTTTATTGTACAGCAATAAAGGAATGGAACAGACTGCCCGCACATGTAAAAGCCAGTCATAGCATGAACCAGTTCAAGAAGACTGCCAAAAAGTGTCTGATGAATGAAGCTACAGAAAGGGAGGGGAATGATTTTCTATTTTTTAGCTAAAATACGTGTAAATTTTACCTTATTCCTAGTAATGACCCTCGTATTGTAGATAGTCTTAATGACCCTCGTGTAGTAGATAGTCTTTTTAGTATGATAATAAGATGTTATCTTCATTGTAGAATAATAAGAAAATATTATAACCTTTATATTATAATAATAAGGTAAAAGGACCCCAATGGAAATAAGTCACTCTGTCTGACTTTTTTGGGTTATCCTAGGTTCTCTACACATATGCTGCTATGTATGATAATTCTTTGTAACTGTATTTGTGTATACCTGAATAAATTTACTTACTTACTTACTTAATCATTCACTCCATCACTGTCTTGCCAGAAGGGTGCTTTACACTACAGTTTTTAAACTGCAACATTAACACCCCTCCTTCAGAGTGCAGGCACTGTACTTCCCATCTCCAGGACTCAAGTCCGGCCTGCCGGTTTCCCTGAATCCCTTCATAAATGTTACTTTGCTCACACTCCAACAGCACGTCAAGTATTAAAAACCATTTGTCTCCATTCACTCCTATCAAACACGCTCACACATGCCCGCTGGAAGTCCAAGCCCCTCGCACACAAAACCTCCTTTACCCCCTCCCTCCAACCTTTCCTAGGCTGACCCCTACCCCGCCTTCCTTCCACTACAGACTGATACGCTCTTGAAGTCATTCTGTTTCGCTCCATTCTCTCTACACGTCCGAACGACCTCAACAACCCTTCCTCAACCCTCTGGACAACAGTTTTGGCAATCCCGCACCTCCTCCTAACTTCCAAACTACGAATTCTCTGCATTATATTCATACCACACATTGCCCTCAGACGTGATATCTCCACTGCCTCCAGGCTTCTCCTCGCTGCAACATTCATCACCCATGCTTCACACCCATATAAGAGCGTTGGTAAAACTATACTCTCATACATTCCCCTCTTTGCCTCCAAGGACAAAGTTCTTTGTCTCCACAGACTCCTAAGTGCACCGCTCACCCTTTTCCCCCTCATCGATTCTGTGATTCACCTCATCTTTCATAGACCCATCCGCTGACACGTCCACTCCCAAATATCTGAATACATTCACCTCCTCCATACTCTCTCCCTCCAATCTGATATCCAATCTTTCATCACCTAATCTTTTTGTTATCCTCATAACCTTACTCTTTCCTGTATTCACTTTTAATTTTCTTCTTTTACATACCCTACCAAATTCATCCACCAACCTCTGCAACTTCTCTTCAGAATCTCCCAAGAGCACATTGTTATCAGCAAAGAGCAACTGTGACAACTCCCACTTTATGTGTGATTCTTTATCTTTTAACTCCACGCCTCTTGCCAAGACCCTCGCATTTACTTCTCTTACAACCCCATCTATAAATATATTAAACAACCACGGTGACATCACACATCCTTGTCTAAGGCCTACTTTTACTGGGAAATAATCTCCCTCTTTCCTACATACTCCAACTTGAGCCTCACTATCCTCGTAAAAACTCTTCACTGCTTTCAGTAACCTACCTCCTACATCATACACCTGCAAGATCTGCCACATTGCCCCCCTATCCACCCTGTCATTCGCCTTTTCCAAATCCATAAATGCCACAAAAACCTCTTTAGCCTTATCTAAATACTGTTCACTTATATGTTTCACTGTAAACACCTGGTTCACACACCCCCTACCTTTCCTAAAGCCTCCTTGTTCATCTGCTATCCTATTCTCCGTCTTACTCTTGATTCTTTCAATAATAACTCTACCATACACTTTACTAGGTATACTCAACAGACTTATCCCCCCATAATTTTTGCACTCTCTTTTGTCCCCTTTGCCTTTATACAAAGGAACTATGCATGCTCTCTGCCAATCCCTAGGTATGTTACCCTCTTCCATACACCTGTTTTAAACATTTCTATCTTTATCCCATCAATCCCAGCTGCCTTACCCCCTTTCATTTTACCTACTGCCTCAAGAACTTCCCCAAACTCACAACTGGCTCTTCCTCACTCCTACAAGATGCTATTCCTCCTTGCCCTATACACGAAATCACAGCTTCCCTATCATCATCAACATTTAACAATTCCTCAAAATATTCCCTCCATCTTCCCAATACCTCTAACTCTCCATTTAATAACTCTCCTCTCCTATTTTTAACTGACAAATCCATTTGTTCTCTAGGCTTCCTTAACTTGTTAATCTCACTCCAAAACTTTTTCTTATTTTCAACAAAATTTGTTGATAACATCTCATCCACTCTCTCATTTGCTCTCTTTTTACATTGCTTCACCACTCTCTTAACCTCTCTCTTTTTCTCCATATACTCTTCGCTCCTTGCATCACTTCTACTTTGTAAAAGCCTCTCATATGCTAACTTTTTCTCCCTTACATCATCATTCCACCAATCGCTCCTCTTCCCTCCCGCACCCACTTTCCTGTAACCACAAACTTCTGCTGAACACTCTAAACTACTTTTTTAAAACCTACCCCATACTCTTTGACCCCATTGCCTATGCTCTCATTAGCCCATCTATCCTCCAATAGCTGTTTATATCTTACCCTAACTGCCTCCTCTTTTAGTTTATAAACCTTCACCTCTCTCTTCCCTGATGCTTCTATTCTTCTTGTATCCCATCTACCTTTTACTCTCAGTGTAGCTACAACCTAAAAAAGTGATCTGATATATCTGTGGCCCCTCTATAAACATGTACATCCTGAAGTCTGCTCAACAGTCTTTTATCTACCAATACATAATCCAACAAGCTACCGTCATTTCGCCCTACATCATATCTTGTATACTTATTTATCCTCTTTTTCTAAAAATATGTATTACCTATAACTAAACCCCTTTCTATACAAAGTTCAATCAAAGGGTTCCCATTATCATTTACACCTGGCACCCCAAACTTACCTACCACACCCCTCTCTAAAAGTTTCTCCTACTTTAGCATTCACGTCCCCTACCACAATTACTCTCTCACTTGGTTCAAAGGTTCCTATACATTCACTTAA